ATAACCTGGTGTTGTGTGATTTTTTACCTTGTCTACCCCAGTCCAACACCAGCACCTCCACATCAAGCTTGTTGACAGAAAGATAGGTAGGAAAATAAATTGTGAGGATAGAAGGGCACTGCAGAATGCTATCGATAGGCCAAGTGAGTGGGCAAATATCTGACAAATGGGAAGGTGGGAAAATGTAAATGTTCATTTTGGCAGGAAGGATAAAAATTATGCATTTGATGTAAATGGTGAGAGATTGCAGAACTCTGAGATGCAGACGGATCTGGGTGCCCCAATGCATGAATCACAAAAGCAGGTACAGCAAGTAATTAGGAAAGCTTACAGTAGGCTTCATTTATCACAAGCAGTATTGAATACAAAAGTAGGGAAATTATGCTTCATTTATGCAGGGTATTGGTGATATACTGCTATACTGTGTGAAGTCACTTCATAGAGGCTGGTATCCCGTCACCAAGTCACCCTTTATTTACACATGGAATGTCGTTGATACAGATGCTGCTTCCTTGGAGCAAGCTGTCAGCATGAACAGAACCTTTGACACTCCTATTTATATCTGTCAGCCAGGTCTCCTTGATTGGACCAGGTTAACAGCTCCAATCGGGGAACTCATATTCTATGAGGTCCACCTGGTTGACCATGTTACAATCACTAAACTATGTACGCTATTCATCACCTTATTTAAGTAAGGATATAAATATGTTGGAAGCAGTTCAGAGAAGATTTACCAGACTATTCAGTAGTTGTGCCTGTGCTGGATCTTTGAAAAGCTGTCAAATTAGTTCCACTCTCTTCATTTCCTACCATCCTCTTTTTTTATATATATATATTTTTTCAAGTGTTTACCCTATTCCCTTTTGAAAATTGTATCTGTTTTGGCCACCTTTTCCGTGATGTGTTCCCAATCATTATAACTCAAAACACATTTTCGCTACCACTGCCTTTTTCTTTTTCTGCCAATTACCTTGAATCCGTTCTCTGGTTAATAATCCTTCTTACAGTGAAGACTTTTTCTACTTTGCTGTCAAAACATCTCATAATTTTGGACACCTGTATTGAATCTCCACATAAACTTCTCTGTTCTGATGAAGGCAATCCCATCATCTTTAGCCTCTCCATTGAACTGAAGCACCTTATTCCTAATACAATTCTGTTAAATCTCTGCAACATCAGAATGTATTTGTAAAATTGGTAAAATGCTTGTAGAATTTCTTATTCAGAGATTCTCAAGCTTTCTGATCATCTTTACTATGTTCTAGTCAACCTATTCAGTAGTATTGACAGTAAATTTGTGATTGAATTTAAACATCACTGTTAGAATTTTAGATGTGAAAACATGAAAAGCTGAGGAACAAATGCAAGAAGCAAAATCTCTAAAGTTTGTGATTTTTTTCCCACACCAGATGAACATTTGTACAATATTTTAAAGATTACTAAAGCTGTGCCTCCACAAATGTAGGTTTGCAGTTGACGTGAGTGACCACCATACAATTGAATTTTATACTATGTTTGAAAGTAAAGGTGTTCATTTTCAATAATGGAAATTATGAAGGTGTGAGACAAGTTGGCTAAGATGGATGGGAACATACCTTAAAAGATGTGATTGTACTGAGGCAATGGATAGTTTTTAAAGAACTATTACATGACTTACAGCAACTAAACATTCTTTCAAGGTGCAAAAACTCAAAAAAGTGTTTAATCACCCATGGCCAACAAAGGTAGTTCAGGATTGTATAAGATTAAAAGAAAGGGCCTGTAAAGTTGCCAGAAATAGCAATATTTCAGAGGTTTGGGAGGCTTATAGAATACAACAAAAGAGGACCAAGAAACTGATGAGAAAAGGGAGAGTGGAATATGCATGCCATCTAACATCTACCGTAAAGGTGGACTGTTAAAGCTTCTATGGGTACGTGAAAATGAAATGTTTAGCTAAAACAAATGTGGGCCCCTTACAGGCAGAGTCAAGAGAATTTATAATGGAGAATTGAGAAATGGCAGAGAAACTAAATGATTACTTGTATCAGTTTTCACTGAGGAAGATACTAGAAATCGACCAGAAATAGAGATCCAGGTGAATAGGGAGAATAAGGAATTGAAGAAAATTAGCATTACTGAGAAGATTGTACTAAAGAAATTAATGAAACTGAAAGTTGATAAACCTTTAGGGCCTGATGGCTTACATCTCATAGTGTTGAATGAGTTGTCGATAGAGGTAGTTAATGCATTGTAATTGCATTCCAAATTTCTGTAGATTCTGGAATGATTTCTGCAGAATGAAATGTAAAAAATATAACCGTGTTATTTAAGAAGGAAGCAGGAAGAAAAACAGGAAACTACAGTCTTGTTAGCCTGAGATCAATAGTGGAGAAAGTACTGTTATATATTGTAAAGGAAGGGATAAGAGACACCTGAGTAGTGATAACCTGATTGGGCATAATCAGCATGGATTTGCAAACGGGAAATCATGTTTGACAGACTTGTTGGAGTTTTTCGAAGACATTACTCACAAAATTGATAAAGAAGAGCCACTGGATGTAGTCTACTGAGCTTTTCAAAGTCTCCCACAGAAAGCTGGTTAGAAAAATTAAAGCACATGGTAGGAGGTAATGTGCTGGCATGGATTAATGTTTGGCCCACAGACAGAAGGCACAGAGTGGGAATGAATGGAACATACTTACGTTGGCAGGCTATGTCTTGTGGGGTACTGGAGGGATCAGTACTTGGGCCCTGGGTGTTCACAATATATATCAACGATTTGGAAGTGTGTCCAAATATAATATTTTCCAATTTGTGGATAATACAGAGCTAAATAGGAGTATGATGACGATGTAAAGCAGTTTCAGGAAGATTTGAACAGGCTTGGCTATTGGGCAAGAACACGGGCAGATGGAATAGAATGTGGAAAATTTGAGGTTATTCACTTGAGTATGAGAAACAGTTGTCCAGACTGTTTCTTAAACGGTAAGAGCTTAGAAAGTGTAGATGTCCAAAGGGACCTATGTATCCTTGCCGATAAGCCACTTAAGGCTAACCTGCTAGTACAGCAAGCTATTAGAAAGACTAATGAAATATTAGCTTTTATTGCAAGAAGATTTGAGTGCGGGAGTAGTGAAGACTTGCTTGAATTGTGTAAGAGCTTTGTTAGACTGCACCTGGATTACCAGGTGCAATTTTGGTCTCCTTTTCTCAGGAAAGATATTATTGCCACAGAGGGAATGCGGATAAGGTTCACCAGGCTTGTTCTGGGGATGGGAAGACTGCCCTATGAAGAAATAATGGGCAGATATGCCTGTACTGTTAAGAGTTTCAGAGAATGAGAGGTGATCTCATCGAAAGTTAAAAAATACTTGAAGGGATAGAGAGTAAAAGCAGATGATACCTGTGAAGAATTTTCACTGTTAAAGATATAAGGTGTTTTCCCAGTTGAGATTGAGAACCAGAATGCATAATTTAAATCTAAAGGCTCTGTCACTTAGATCTTAGATTAGGAGAAGTTTCTTCACTCATAGGGTTGTGAACCTTTGGAATTTGCGACTGCAGAGGGCTGTGGAAGCTCACTCTTTGAATATGTTTAATGTAGAGATTGATAGATTTCTGATTATCAGTGGCATGTAGGGATATGGGGAGTGAAAGATATTAAAATGTTTGATCAGCCATGATTGTTTTGAGTGGTGAGGCAGGCTCAGTCGGATGAATGGCCCATTTCTGTTTTATTTTCAGGTATTTTCTTCAATTACTTTTAGACTGTTTCTCTTACCTACCAAGAATTACAGGAGTATGATGATAAAGATGGTGTAGAGCTGGATGAACACAGCAGGCCAGGCAGCATCAGAGGAGCAGGAAAG